TAAATCTTCTGATCGATTTTGTTACACGTATTGGACTCTTCTAATTTACAACCCCTAAGTATATTGCCCTTTTCAAATTTCAATCCATCAAAAGAGTTGGTTTCCGGGTTTATTTTTTGGAATTTTAAGCTATGAAACTAAGTAGATTGTTCAGCTTTTTTGTCACTGATATAAAAATTATAACCCCTAATAAAGTTCAATGCTATACAACAGTGAGTGCCAGACTAAGAGAGATCACGAAGAATTCTTAGCCGTGTCCACAAGTCACATTTAACACTTGTCTTCATTTCTACAGCGTGAAGCAAACACGTCAGGAGACTATTCACGTGATCAATCAAACAGCTGAGTTTAAAGGTATTTGAAACATGCAGTGTAGGCTGGAGGCAGGTTCATTTCACAGGTTGTCTTGGCTGTAGTCTACCAGAACAAACGTATTTCAGCTGTGTTTTACACTTGTTCAAAAACTCAAACGATGGACCTCATTGGAAAGGTTGTTTTGGAAGCAGCTGTGGAAGCCGTTGTTAAGAAAGGTGTCTCTGCCGCAGTTCGAGGAGCGACAAAATCTCGAGCAAATATTCCAACTGCGGATATTCAAAGAGCCATCGGGGTCATCGACAATAATCTTGACGATATTAAATCAAGACTGGATGGAATTGCAATGAAAGACCTTCTAGCAAGTGCAAGCTTCTTCAATGAAGGCTTGCTGCATTTGGACAGAGTATTTGATAAGTTTCATTTGTCTGATTTTCAGACAATTACAGCAAAAACGGAAGTGAAAACGGAAGGTGGAAAACTAAAGGTTGACTTTCCATCAACAACAGCGTGGAAAGCAGTGTTGTTTCTTGCTAAAGGACTTCACGAGTTGGATGAATCGACTAAAAGAGCATTATGTGATGCCAAAGAGAGATTCAAAGATGCCCGCAGGAAAGCTACCAAAGCATTCTGCAACGAGGCTCTGGAAACAAGTCAACGCATGTTAGCCATGAAATATCGTGTTATTGCGACCATACTAGAGAAAATTGAATATCCTGGAGAAGCGATACCCCTGTGCAAATTATGCCTCGAAGAGCTTCACTCTGATCCAGTCGTCCAGCAAAGTTTCATGATCACGAAACAGAACCAAACAATTCAAAAGGAAGTCCGTGAGTTAAATAGCCTCGTCTGTGACGTCACACAAATGGTTAGTGGAGGCGGAGCACTTCTTGCATGGCCTTGTATTATGACAGGAGGCGGAAAAATCGATCCTGTACACGAGCGAACGCTCAGAGAACATTGTTGTCACACATGGTCGTTTGGGCAGAGTGCGAATGATGACCATAGGCTAAAGTTTGCGTGGAGCATTTCTTCTAATTCCCGCGGAGAATTTATTGTTGGGGATAGCGTAGATCGCAACATTAAAGTGTTCGATGACCACGGAATGTTTCTGTATTGCCTCCATCCTTTCGCTTTTGAAGAGCAATCTGAGTATGAAAGAGAAATATGGAACATTGCTTGTGACCAGCAAGACAATATCTACGTGCTGACATTGAATAGAAATCAGGATGGTCGTGCTGATGTGAGCGTAGTGTATGTGTTCAACGAGCAGGCTCATTTGATTCAAAAGTTCACTCTGAGGGAGGGTTTTAGAGGATACGCGCTGACAGTGGACGACTTCAATCGAATTTTTGTAAGTGGTGGAAGCTTTTCAGTTTGCTTCAATGATACGGTGGAAGTGTACGAGGGCGATGGAATGTTCATTCAAAGCTTCGGAAAGGAGACGTTGAATAACGCACAAGATATTACGGCAACTTACGATGGTCATTCGTTAGTTCTGGACACTGATAAAGACTCCACATGTCTTCGCGTGTTCAGTGCACAGGGTCACCAACTTACTAGGTTTTCAGTTGCAGGATCGATGCCTGACACTGGTGCGGCTGTGGATTTTCACCGCCCGAGTGAAACAGTTCTTGTTGCTACAATGCAGTCCGAAAACCATCTGGAAGTGTCTATGTACTCCAAAGACTTTAAGTTTTTGCGTGTCATTCAATTTAGACCCCAGGGAGATAGCAGCTTTATAACAGGGGTTACTGCGACAGTGAAGGGAAGCATTGCTGTACCCTGCAAAAGCACAGTACTCTATGCTTGAAAATTACGCGACCCTGGGGATACATTTTAGCCGGCAAATTCTAAATACGAACCACAAGGACCAGAAGAACGTCCGGTTATTGTCTAGTTATACCTATAAGGCCTTAGCCTTGCCTAGCGTCGGTTAGTCTGCTACACAGCCGTTTTTAGTGTCGTCACGCAACGCTCCTCCCCACTAAGAGGAGAGGAGGAGCGTTGCGTGACGACACTAAAAACGGCTGTGTAGCAGACTAAGCGTCGGTTAAAACTAGAAACCGCTATATTCCCAGACTAACGAAGCCCATACCTTATATTTCTGTTTTCTTTTTTCATTAGCAGCCTTCAGAAGCGGCTGGCAACACTACACATTGATTGAATTTATTAAATTCTGTAGTATTATAGGGTAAAGTAACACTCATTTTAACTTTCACAATTTTAATGGCGGCTAGGCTTAGCTAAAAAAGTCAGGATTTTTTTTGAGATTTTTTGAAGTTCAAAAAGATTGTTGGTAAAAATCTTATTTTAGATATTTATACGAATTTAGCTTGTTTGTCTAAGATTTTCAGAACTTAAACTGAAGAGTCAAAATATACATCTCGGTAAAATACTTGAAAAAATATCAAGAGTTGTTGCAGCCGAGTTCTGTGGTTTTTTCGAGTTTTTCGTATTTCCTTTCTGGATGATTTATAGCTTCTTTGATTTGTTATCGTATGGTTTTTGACACCGGCAGATATATTTGCCCTCATACAATCAACCAAACAAAGGAAATTCAATTTTAATTTGAAAGTTTATACTTGAGTCTCTCAGTCCACTGATTTATAAACAGAGTATCGCATGCACGATTGATTTGATTTTGTTCTTGAAATTCATTTTGTATGTACTTCAAGTATACAAAGGCAATGACTGTAACATGAATTTACTCAATAAAAATCGCCAATAAATGACTTTTAAACAATAGGGCGTGCATTTTGTCTTTCGCCTGATCGGGGAAGTAAAATTGGGCGTTGGTCCTAAACAGGGTCAGGGTTTCAAACCCAAAGGGGCTCACCTATAACCAAATACTGCCCGAGTACTCATATCCCCGGGAGTTACCCAAATAGCGACGGAACAGCATGCAAGGCCCCTGGCTCCCATACCAAATGATAATTTTACCTCGATTTTCTTTTTCTTCATCAAAGGAATAAATGTTGTGAATCTCTTTACAAAGTGTTGCTGAAACCTATTACGCAGAACAACCGAAGGGTTCCCCTATACCCAAAAACTTCTGCTCGTAGGGTAGGCACTTAAAACTGAAATCAGCAAATTTGAATTAACCCTCAACTCAGTTTGCTTAACAACGAAGCACCAACAAAACTCTTTTTAATTTTTTCCGTGCATTCCAGACCATATTGAAATGTGAAAGCATTGGTGTTTGAGGAGAGATGATCATGAAAACCGGCGTACCCGTAGAAAAACTCAAGTTCTTGGCGCAAACGAGAGAACTAACAACAGGGTATAGTTTTTACTTTTGTCCTCTCTGTCCTTAACAGGGTGTATCATTTTGGGCGAGTTTAACAAAGAAAGTGTCGATAGATGGGAAATAGCGACTCTAGGGTAGGGATGGATTTGGGGTGTTTAGACTAGTATAGGGTACCAAAGTTCAACTGAATTAGGTCTGGTTTATGCTAGCGTTCCATTTCGAGAAAACAGGGGGAAAAGATTTTTGGCAGTGCATTACCCGTGACGAGATTATAACAGATTATAAGACCAAAGCTGTGATGATGCATACCAGAGAAGGCACAACAATAGTGACACAGCAGGACTAGGTTACAGACGCGCAACTTGGTAGGAATTATAATCTTTATTCACTGCTCGGCTCGGACGCGAGGAATTCAAACAGGTTAACTTAGTAACTTTATAATTTTCTCTTTAACGTTCCGTATTTTCTGTAACCGTTATATATCCTGTCTGAATAATACTTCGAAAAACTGTTTTATAGGTCGATAAACATGCCTAAAACAAAGACCAGATCTCGGCGGAAGAGAGAGCTAATCAAGTATGACAGGACTTGCCAACGATCAATTAAAATAAATAGCATAGAAAAAAAATTGCGCTCCATAAGTCTGCATAGAAAAAACATTTTTTCCTGAAATTTTTTTTAAAAGAAAGCTCTTAGTGAGCTCTATTTAATCATCTAAAAATTGCAAATTTCGAAAAAGGGTGATTTTTTACCCTGAATAATACCTTAAAGGGTTAAACTGACCCCTACAGGAGACTATACTAAAACAGACATCTCAGTAAGAGCTATGGATCTAAATAAATGCCAAGGATGTTTTGTTGTTAGGTTTCTGTGAAGTCAGTGTCACGACAGTTTTTTGATTCGTTCGACGTCTGAATCGAACTTATGTCATTTGGGTAGACCCAAGGAGCTATGTAGATATTACATGTATTAGTCGCGTACATGAAAAGATCGATGTTTGAACTGGGCCTAAGAAAAATAAAATAAAATAAAGTTCATCACAGGGTATATTGTCATATCTCCCTGTCTCAATCAAAAGCTTGTGGCTTCTTATTACTAGTTTCATTAATGCTTTCCTAGAAAAAAAAACAAACAAACAAACAAAGTTTTAAGTAGCCCGTGAGGGGCTCTTGGCACTCGTGGTTACTCTGTAAACATTATTTCCTTTTAGGTCAGGCCCAGTGAAACAACCATAAAAAAAACTTGTAACAGTTTTTATCTCCCATTAAATAATTCCTATTTTAACCTGCCCGTGAGGAGGGGAGAGAGACTTCAATTTCTAGGTTGCGTGACAAGTGTTTTTGATACACCCTGTGATGCACCGTACACTCACGCTCGTCGCTCCCATGATGCCCTCTGCCAGGATTGTCTGACGTTGCTAAACGTTTTATGCGCCGATAATCGACGAGAAGGAACTGAAGGTGTATCCAGTTTTAAGCCAAGTTAGTTGATTTTCTTATTTTTNATGACAGGACTTGCCAACGATCAATTAAAATAAATAGCATAGAAAAAAAATTGCGCTCCATAAGTCTGCATAGAAAAAACATTTTTTCCTGGAATTTTTTTTAAAAGAAAGCTCTTAGTGAGCTCTATTTAATCATCTAAAAATTGCAAATTTCGAAAAAGGGTGATTTTTTACCCTGAATAATACCTTAAAGGGTTAAACTGACCCCTACAGGAGACTATACTAAAACAGACATCTCAGTAAGAGCTATGGATCTAAATAAATGCCAAGGATGTTTTGTTGTTAGGTTTCTGTGAAGTCAGTGTCACGACAGTTTTTTGATTCGTTCGACGTCTGAATCGAACTTATGTCATTTGGGTAGACCCAAGGAGCTATGTAGATATTACATGTATTAGTCGCGTACATGAAAAGATCGATGTTTGAACTGGGCCTAAGAAAAATAAAATAAAATAAAGTTCATCACAGGGTATATTGTCATATCTCCCTGTCTCAATCAAAAGCTTGTGGCTTCTTATTACTAGTTTCATTAATGCTTTCCTAGAAAAAAAAACAAACAAACAAACAAAGTTTTAAGTAGCCCGTGAGGGGCTCTTGGCACTCGTGGTTACTCTGTAAACATTATTTCCTTTTAGGTCAGGCCCAGTGAAACAACCATAAAAAAAACTTGTAACAGTTTTTATCTCCCATTAAATAATTCCTATTTTAACCTGCCCGTGAGGAGGGGAGAGAGACTTCAATTTCTAGGTTGCGTGACAAGTGTTTTTGATACACCCTGTGATGCACCGTACACTCACGCTCGTCGCTCCCATGATGCCCTCTGCCAGGATTGTCTGACGTTGCTAAACGTTTTATGCGCCGATAATCGACGAGAAGGAACTGAAGGTGTATCCAGTTTTAAGCCAAGTTAGTTGATTTTCTTATTTTTCATTTTCTTCAAGAGAACATAATAAAAAGCCTTATGTTCTCTTGGCTGCTTTCATTTGATTTTTCTCAATACGTTAATGTATTTGGGTTTAGGCCAAGAGCTATTATGGCTCTTGGTTTAGGCCGATGTCATGTAATCACTCTCTCTCTCTCTTCTCCACGGCAATGTTGAAAATGAGGTAAATTCCTCGGTATTTTCTCTTTCTGTTAGTTACAGTGGAATTTTTGACAACAATGGTTTAACACAGTGAGACACTGTGAAATTCGGTTTGTGCAGATGTTTGAACCCAGAAGTCATTTCATAGGTAGGTGAAGCATGATATCTTTCATCGTGATTTTAGTTAGACCTTAATTCCATACTCAACTTTGTATATGTCGATCCACAATAAGTCAGAAAACAAACCACAGGAACAATCAGATATAGTGCAAGTATTTATCGTAAAGAAAACAGACAATTTTATTGTATCTAAACGTCTTGCGTGACGGAAAAGTTTGATGGCAAGTCCTACAATGTAATAAAGCTTCAGGATAAGAGCTAGTTTCTTTTATATGGGGAAGAGGGGCAGTTTTAATAGCATTAGATGTTTCGAAAACGTACTTACTGCTTACTTTTAAAGGTAATGTTTGCTAGGTAAAGCAGTTACTCTTTATAATGGAAGCCTGAGGGAGGGTTTCTCGGAATTTTCCTTGCTTTGCAGGGGTCAAAACAAGCATAAACATTTATTAACACTTCCAGAAAAGCTTTCATATCGACTGCGAGATGTCTCTGCTCCCTTAGAGATGATTTTCACACACTAGGCAGATCTAGCAAAGAAAACGTGAGGACAGTATGAAACGGTGGCGAAAGCGCGCGCAGAATTAAAATCCGGCTTAACCAATGGAATCGACGCGCTTTCGTGTTCTCATTTGACTACGTTATCCTTTGCTTAATCTGCCTACCTTTCCATAGGCATCAGTTACGCGTCCTCCTAAAACATGTACTTTTAAAAATCCCTTCAAACAAATCAGAACAGATATATACTACACTATACTACAATACACTATATACTATACCATACTATACTATATACTTAATGTGACTTATGCATCTAATTCAAGATAGTGTTTTCGCTCTTAATATTTGCAACTTCGTGGAGAGAGCCCTGTGAACGAGGTTATAATATATCTATGGACGAAAAAGTTCGTTTCACATCAGAACTCCTTAAGGCTACTGTATCATCAGAGAAACGATAAAAATGCTGAACGGTGAAAGTAAAACCTCGTTGAAACGACCACTAATGGGCCACAAAATCCTGGTTGTATTTAGGTAAGAAAATGCCTGAGTTTCAACAGGTTGATCGAAAGGCGGACCCCACTATACCGAATTATGGATCTTTCAAAAGGAAACCGCTCCATCTGTACTCAGTTTCACATGGTACTGTTTGTTTTTCCGCTCATTGGATTTTTTTTGTCGAGTTTTGGCTTTGGCCAACTTCTAGGATTGAAAAGCGTAAAGATAATTGATTGATTGACTGTTTTTTTTTTGTTTTTGTTTTTTGTTAGTTTGAAGAATAAACTACTGTGGTCGAAATAAAGCCGAGGTGGTCTTAAGGCTGGGCTTCACTTTATCCGAGTTTATTACTTTTCTCTGGTTCATTAACGTTGTGTGCAATTTATCTCTTGTAGGAGATGTCACAATGATGGAACTGACTGCCTGGAATGTAGACAAGATATAACGTGAAAAATATGTCGAACTTCCTGGAAAACGACTGCCTTGATAACAGCGATGGTATGAACACCCTCTTGGAGTCGTACTTAGAAGAACTCGATTCTTGGNTTGTGTGCAATTTATCTCTTGTAGGAGATGTCACAATGATGGAACTGACTGCCTGGAATGTAGACAAGATATAACGTGAAAAATATGTCGAACTTCCTGGAAAACGACTGCCTTGATAACAGCGATGGTATGAACACCCTCTTGGAGTCGTACTTAGAAGAACTCGATTCTTGGCAGAGAGGAGTACACAATATTAGAATTATGCATCATGATGTTTGGAAAGGAAGTAGACTATCCCCTTATATAAAGCAACACCGAGCTGGTAGCAGAGTGGAGAGGCAGACAAGAATCTTACCTACCGGCGGCCAGACGGATGTTGATTACATGTTTGAGGTCGTTGGACAAGAAGTACTTTGTGATGGGAACCAAGGTTCCATGTACTTCAAATCCTGTCCTTGGGAAAACTTTGTCAGAGATGCAAACTATGATATGACGAACACACACGGGAAGATTTACTTAAGTAGTGCTTACAAATCCCGTTTGGAATGTCATGAAGTGTATGACAAGATATTTGCAGACGCCCTGAGTTTTGACGAAATGGAAAAAGCGTTCTTACTCATTCCTGGAAAGTTTAAAGAGAATGTCGTACGAAATTGTGGATTGGATTACACACGAAACGAAGCTCTTCCTTCCACCGTGAGTCCATCAATATCTGGGCAAGGTGCATTAAAAGAATACGATGGGGTTCCTTGTCTCAGACTTGCCGACTGGCCACACGTAACGTTAAATTGGGTCAAGCGGCAAGGGAGAAATGACGTCACTTTTCAAAGAGAGTGGAAATCGGAAGTTGTTCAAAATGTCCCGCTTTTCCTTGTACCAACCGGAAATCCTATGGCAGAGGAACAGGACTTGCAATTCCGGTTATCATTCTCTATGGTGGAGATAGCTTGTTTCCAACAAATGAGTTCGACAATGAGGAAAATGTACGGCATCGTCAAATACATTTTCAAGGATTTGTTCCATGTGAGCGGTCTGTTAAGCTCGTACCATGTCAAAACTCTGATGCTGTGGAAAATAGAGCAAACACCGATTGATGAATGGAGGTCCAAGAACGCGACTGAATTTATCAAGGAAATGATGGACGAAATTTATCAATCTTTGAACACTAGAAACATCCCACACTTCTTTGTTGAGAATTGCAACATTTTTCCAGCTCATAAAGTCACTGATGAAAATATTCTCGAATACTCTACCGTTTTCAAGAACATGCCAAAACTTTTAGGAGAGACTATTGAAAATTTATTACGTCAAGATTTGGGAATTCCATCCGGTGAAATCACTCTTAATTTGGCGATGGTCAAGTTAGAAAGAATTCACCACACAGGGTTAGAAGCGTACATTGCTGGCTACTTGACTAGGCTGCTTAGCGTTATCACATTTTCCTTGACAGAGAACTATGAAGAAAGTCGTGAGCTTGGGAAGGCGTCTTGGGAAGAGATGAAAAGAATATTTGCCAAGTACGATCACGACCAGCATGTTAGCAGAATCATTCACATGGTTAATTCCTGTATCAGTCGTCTCGACCCCAAGTCTAGAGTCATTTGTTCAAGGACTGGTCCTGAAGACTGTTCTATTAAACGTGATAATATGAGTCGCTTAGTGCATGAGGCGTTTGAAGCGTACACGAAAGGAGACTTAACAGGGGCGATGGAATACATCAGAAGAGTAGATTCTCATCCGCAATCCGATAATTTTACACCAGAAGGGATTGGAATATCGATTACCAAATTTCATAAATGTTTGTACAACGACAAACCAGTACTCAATGTAATCCAGTTGCTTGAAAAAGAACACAACGGGCGTTGCCCAAGGTTCTATTTGGCTCCCTGTCTACTTCTACAACACTTGAAGATTCAACTGCGAATGAGCTTTTCTCCTCCCAGTACAGCGGCTCTTCAGGAGGAGATAGAGGAACTCCAAAGTATAGTCCAAAATTTGTCATTCAAAGAGCCATATCTCGGGAGACTGTCTTATAGATTTGCGGGCGTTTACCTGTTACAAGGATACAAGCAATTCGTAGGTGATCAGCAGCTCCATGTGTCAGTTTCTGTTCCATCTGAAGAATTCAATCAGAGACGTTTTGCAACAAATTTCAATTTAAGATGACTTACCCTCACACTCCTAGATTCGATATAGAATACTATACGGTCGATTCTCGTTATTACTGACATTAAAGGGACAGTTCCGACAATTACTAGTGTTTGCGTTATGGTTATACAACTAAGAGAGAGAACTGTTCGTTGTAGAACAATACCCAGAAAGGGACTGGTTCGACTATATGAAGTTGTAACTTTTGAGTCCTTTGATAAAGCCGTCTTTACCACTGATCATTTTATTGCGCCTATTCGTCGAGACCGTAGACAATAGGGTTTACGAAATACATGTGATGGTGCAATTTTTTTCTTCACCAGAAATAAACGTTGTTAAGACTTTCAAAAAGTTTTTTTTCTTTAAAAACGGGCAACACGTTTCCATTGTCTGCACTCCTACCGGGTGGATTTTAGCCTGTGAAGCGCAGACGTATTTCCGGTCGTCGCTTCTCTCCCTCCAAAAATAGCTATTTTTCGGAGGAAGAGAAGCGACGACCGGAAATACGTCTGCGCTTCGCAGGCTAGGTGGATTTCCACTGTCGCGTAATTTTTCCGTGCGTACGCGCGTAAATAAAATAGAGACAATGAATGACATTGAATGGAAGGTCACGCATACGTAAAAGTTGAACCTCTCTCAACTTTTACTAGACACCCTTTTACTACCAAAAGTGGCCAAAGTTAGACTTCAACAAAATGAATAAGCCCTAGGCCTTTTTCCTGGCGGTCTAAGCGTTTCTGGTCACGTGATCCGAGCGAGGTTCGTCCTACAGGAATCTCTCGACCGTTCGAGGCTCTCATCTCAATACATACATACATGCATACTTTATTGAGACGCCCTTCAACAGGGCTTTTCAGTCACAATGTTAATTATTACATAATACTGGTAATTAAGAAAAGAAAAGAAAACTTATTTACTGTAGTTCAATGAAATTCAAAATAGATTCAAAATTATTCAAAATATATTCAAAATTATTTCGTATGAAATATCCTATTAAAAAGTCTCCGCTTAAAACTATCAATACCTTTAGTGTTCCTAATATTGTCAGGTAGCCCATTCCATTCCTTTGGACCCCGAAAATAAAATGCCCTTTGTCCCATTGATAGTCTACATCGGGGAACCACAAAATTGTTACATCCCCTTGTGTTCTTGTTGTGAACTGCTGAACGTTTAATAAAATATTTACCTAAATAATCTGGAGCTAAGCCATTTACACATTTGAATACTAAAACTAAGTCGTTAAATAGAACCTTCTCCGTAACATCTAACCATTTAAGAGATCTCCGTCCCTGGGAGATATGGTCAAACTTCTTTAAACCTAATACAACTCTGGCAGCAAAATTTTGTACCAACTGCAGTTTGTGTAGGTTACGTTTAGATGTGTTCCCCCATACTGAGGAACAATAAAAAATTTACTGAAAACAAAGCTATTTATAAGTAGTAAAAGGGTTTTCCTATCCAAAAGATGTTTAATTCTACCTATCTGTACCAACTGGTTCATGCAGCTAGAGACTGTTTTAGTAACATGTAAATCGTAGGTAAGATATTGATCAATGTATACCCCGAGATCTTTAGCAACTGACACTGGTGAAATAGTTTTGCCCAACAAGGATAAGGAGATATGAGGTAGCCTCTTAATAAGTCGTGCTGAGCCAACAACCACTAATTTTGTCTTCTCTGGGTTTATGAGTAGAGAATTCTTTGCACACCATGTACTGATGTCCCTAAGATCTTGGTTTACGGCTGCCATAGCACTTGATGAGTCTGATGCAGAAAATTTAAAGTGCAATTGGCTGTCATCAACATATGCAGCGGGTTGGCTATGGGTAATAACAACGGATTAAATCATTAATTTAAATAGTAAAAAGCAAAAAAGATCGAACCCTGAGGTACTCCATTTGTTACGGGTAACAATTCTGAGACTGAATCTTCGTATCGTACTCTTAGGTATCTACTTGATAGGTAGCTACTAAACCAGGAAATTACGGAAACTTTGAGACCCAGTTTTCGTAATTTTCCTAATAATAGATTATGATTAAGGCTGTCAAAAGCTTTTGTACTAGTAACGAGGCAGATTTTTCATCGATTGCTTTCAAAATGTTATCTGTGACATTTATGAGGGCAGTTTAGGGCAATAAGGTAGTAGCTTTGACGACTGACGGTTAATTTTTTTCTAATTTTTGACGGTTGGCGGTTAAATCTTAGAGTTTTTGACGGGTGACGGTTATTCAGTGGAGATTTTTTTGAAATTTAGGAGTGTTTCGGTCCAAGATTTTAAGTAAATATAAATTTCTGTACAAATATAAACTTTTGGGCTTTTTTTCTTCTTCCTTGGAACCCCACCTGTTACAGTCAATGTCTTATGGTTTTTCGTGTTCCCTTTCTTAGGCATTAATGTTTCTTTGTACGAGTATAATTAGTTTTTATTGCGGTTAACTCAACGGATGCGTTTACTCACGCACAATTAAGATAACAAAGAAGACCGTATCTAGAATTTTTTAGACAGTTCAATTAAGAAAGTCAACGTGCCCAGGCAAAGGCATATGCTTTAGCCTGCGAGCAAGCTGTCCTATTTGGGAGAGCAAAGCAAGCCGCGCTAGAACTCACCAGCGAGCGGCCTCTTTCGAGGGGCTATTTTCGCGTCTCCTCGCGCGTGCCTCTCGCGCGTGTACTTTTCACGATATCCCCAAATGGAGAGCTTGCTCGCAGGCTACATATACTTCCGGTTCAAGTTAAGACTCAACGTTTTCAACTTTTGTGATCACTCCCTCAGTCAGATACAGAAGTAAGTTTGTAACCTTTTTATCATTTTTACTTTTTAGTTGAATCTAATTCTAGTTTTATTTTGTTATTTGTTCTTTGTTTTCGAATCCGCTGTGTTATATCGCTTCATTTCTCATTTCATCGCTTCGCTAGACAACGCTTCACATCGCTATAGCGTTTTGTAACGTATCGACTTCTTTACATCGCTTCACTTCGATTAATTAAAGTTTTATTAAGAACACGGAAGCGCGTTAAGAAATATCTGACTACCAAGGGGATCAAGAAATTCACGTATATATACCGTGCTGTGAGCAACGCGAACTTAAGTACTTAACGTGGTTCTGCTCTCACACCACCTCCTTGAAAGATGAGGATTTAAGTGCAGGGATTCTGATCTGGAGGTCGTCTTGAACTCTCAGTTATAAAATTATATTTCAGTTCAGATATTAGAAATTTGTAAGGACTTACTGTATCTATGAAAGAAGGTCTTTCGAGAACAATGAAATGAAATAGGTTTTCCCAGTTTAAGGACTCTTTAAGAGCCAGAAATCCGTGAATGTGATCAGCTGAAATAGTTGAGATTTGAAATCTCTTGAAACTTTTTGATGGTTAATAGGCATGACTCTGCATTTTTGACGGCTGAAAAATCGATGATGGGGCATTACAGCCAACAAAATTTCCTGAACTACAGTGGAAACCCGTTAATACGGTCACCAATAGGCCAAAAAAAGTTGGCCGTATTAACGGGTGACCGCATTAACGAGGGTTTTTTTTACAAGAAAATGTATGGCCGTTTTGCCTGGCGGCCAAAAAATGTGGTCATAATAACGAGGTGGCCGGGGGTTCCACTGTACTAAAAAGTATTTCGCGCAAAATAAAGAAGTCAGGATAGTGGCTTTACATGTTGGGAAGATTTTTTTTGTAGGAGCCATTTGTTTCTCTTATAAGAAATACAGTCTTCTCCCTTTCCATATTTAAAATACCCAAGGATTACCGAGGGTAGAAGAGATTCTCAACTTGTTCCCAATGCGCCACCAACAATCACCGTTTTTTTCTCAATAGACCAGCGGTTTCATCAAGTAGACGTTTTCCGTTTGTTTATACCAACGCGAAAAACATGGCGGACAGATTTTGCGATCGTCGAGGTATTATTCTAAGCCTAATTTTTGCTGGAAGAATCTTTGGAATTACGAGGTAATTCGCAGATTCCATACTTACGATAAAGTTAATTTCCTCGACTGATTTTTTTTTTGTTTTTATGTGACAGATTGGAGCCAGAGAAACCGTTATTTAACCAGGTCTGAGTTTAATATAATTAATAATAAGCTAATATTAATACATGTTCATTACGATAAACCTAATTTAGTTCTTTTAGAAGGACTTATGGTGAGATTTCTGTGCAGCCCTCTACGTTTATTATGCTCACATGTTTCGTGTAAAATCTTTTGAGATTGCTGTATGCATAATAGATGCATGGGGCTCAGGACTTTGCCTGCGTGCAGACGTCTCCTATTTCCTTTGTTGCACGCGGAAAAGTCCCTTCTCCGTGTGCAACAAAGGAAATAGGAGACGTCTGCATGCAGGCAACTCAGGACTCAGCTGTATAGTTTTACGGAAGTCTTACCCCAATCCATAAACCCAGAAATGTCAGAAATGTCAAAATCACCCAAAATACAATGAATAATAAGTAAAAATCACTTTATCACTACTGACTAGCCATTTTTTCCGCTTGGAGATACTCTTGATACTATGCGCGGTTTCTATGAAAGTGAGTGGAAATTATTAGTTTCCAACAAATGAGTTCTACAATGAGGAAAATGTACGGCATCGTCAAATACATTTTCAAGGATTTGTTTCATGTAGGCGGTCTGTTAAGCTCGTACCATATCACAACTCTGATGCTGTGGAAAATAGAGCAAACACCGATTGATGAGTGGACGTCCAAGAAAGCCACTGAATTTATCAAGGAAATGATGGACGAAATATATCAATCTTTGAACACTAGCAACATCCCACACTTCTTTGTTGAGAATTGCAACATTTTTCCAGTTCATAAAGTCACCGATAAAAATATTCTCGAATACTCTACCATTTTCCAGAACATGCCAAAACTGCTAGGAGAGACTATTGAAAATTTATTACATCAAGATTTGGGAATTCCATCCGGTGAAATGACGCTTAATTTGGCGATGGTCAAGTTAGAAAGAATTCACCACACAGGGTTAGAAGCGTACATTGCTGGCTACTTGACTAGG